CGAATCAAGATGTTAAGTAATGGCACGGCCTACGTGTAAAATATCGAATGCTCATACAAAAGTAATCAAATAGGTATAAAGTTGATTAGGAGCGGAGATGCGTGGAAGTGAGATGACGTGAACGTAAGTAAGCAAGCGGGCGCCTCGTCTGGTAAACATTTATTGGCCGAAGGCGCCATCGTGCTATTTTCGTTGTATATGTACTTAACTTTTGTTCGAAATAAGTCGCCGTATCTATATTTACCTTTGCCGCTTGAGACGCGACGACCGTATCTATGCAGCGCTCCGAGCGCGGCTCAGTCTATATCCAAGCCCTATTTACTCTATTCCAAGCTGTCTTACCTACGACAAAACCAATCAAACCTGCCTTGAAACAGTGGCATCTGTCGCAAACGTCACAAACATGTCAACAAACGTTTGTCAGACTGACAGTTTTTATGTCAGTTACCGGTTTATAGTCCATTTTGACTGTTGATGCCCTCAAAGTGCTTTTAAGTAACAGTTCGCGAGTTAATTCATGTGAAAAGGCTCCAATTCCTTACTAAATGACTTGTGCGGATGTGGAGATTCATTGACCCAACTGTACGGTATAAATGTTGTCTTCTGCTATTTATTTTGCAATTAACGTTTTCTCAAAATGTAGATCTGAAAAATTTGTAGTTTGTCCCGGTGAACGCTCAGTTATTTCGAGCCCTGAACCTGGCAAGCTGGAACGAAGCAACACGCAAGCCGCCTTGCGACTCGCATACACCTCTATGGGTGCGAGAGAGACAGCCGAAGCAAACTACGTTCCTGAATGGAGCTGATTTCAATCATTCGACTCGCGGTTGTGTGAGCACCCGAAACAAGCCCACGTCTGAAGATGCTTATCATGCGAGTTAGCGAAACGTCACATTTCTTTATTATATTATATGTTATATCCATATTCAATCAACCCAATTCGAGCACAGTGGCAACAAAGTCTTAACATTCGACATCAAGTGTCGCGACAATAAAAATAGACGAAATAATTGCACCAGATTCCGATAGTGCAGTTGCGGTGCCGCTAATGGCCGCAATAGACAAGCATTTCTCACGCTTTTAACGAATACCCAGCTCGACAAAAGGTGTTCTAATTGCACTAATCTGGTTTCGGGGGGGACCAGCGCCCCTCTCCTAACGGCTCTTTTTATTGTCGAACCCATTATCCTTGCTAATTACACCGTGAGACATGGCGCCAAGGCTTTCCAAACGAACAAACAAACTAACATCCGATTTGCGTAGTTGTTTACCGGCGAAAAAACGGGACTGATGTAACGAACCGCCGTTTATTTAACGTACTTTGGGCCGGAAATCTACAGGGTTTAGGTTTGGCCATTGTGTTGCCTTTTGAAGGGTAAATTGGAAATTACATTGTGAACACTAAACTGTTATTAGATCGTCCATACTGCAGCCAAGCCATTAGTTATCTATATCTAGTCATTATCAGTTAGGCCGGCTAAACGCAATAAAGGCAACTTAATGCAATTCTCCATCTCCAATCAAAACTCTTCATCTATGGGCCTATGCGAAGAGATTGGCTGATAATTACGGCAACGCGTCCTTCATTGGTGCTTGACGTGATTGAATTGCGCACAAAAACGCGCGGATTCAATGATGAATTGTAAGCGAAACGTTGCTCATCGAGGCGGCATTTATTTTTAATACGGCGCGTTCATGAGAGAGAGTGAAACAGAAATGCGATATACTGGTTCACATATGAATCAGAAAGAGTATTTTTAGAATTCGCTTTACTGAGATCTCTTTACTTCTCGTTTTGTCTTTTCTACATGGGGTCAGTGTAATGAACAACTTCAATTACTGCCACGTTCCAAAATGACTGTGGGAACTCAGTGGCGAAGTTTCCATTGCACTTGATTCAGAGCGTAAAAATGCATCAAAAGTGTTTATGTTTATGAAGTTTTAGTGTTTCAGGGATATTTTTCCCGTTTTTTGTAGCTAGATATTTAAAGCCAGATAACTTTTTTAGCGCACCATTTTTTCATTTTTAAATACACCGTCTTATTCTTCAACGTTTTTAACAACAAAAAGTGTACTTGGCAGGCAAAAGTTAATTTGCTCAGCCGTTCTTGAAACATCGGAATCTCAAAAATTCACGGAAAATTAATTGTTCAAATAATCTCTATTCTCCTGTGTTCAAAGATTAATACGCGATCAATATTTTTTAGTTAAACGCCCTGGAATAGGAAGGAAACAACCGTTTGAGCTCGTTTGGTACTTTAGTAGGTTTGTAGAGAATTTCGGTTGGATACATTTTCAATTTTCCACTGTTGATTTGCCACGAAATAAATGTCTGAATCCTCTTTCGCACTCGAAAAAAACACACCTTTGAAAATGCTGGTCACGCATGCTAGCGAAACGTCCGGAATCAATTTCTGTCGGTGTCGCCCTAATAATCCAGATATGTTCAATTATTCCATAATTTATACGGATTTTAATGCGAAAGTCGGATAAAGTTTACTAGTTTCGGTAACTTGATCCTCAAAATGTTTCCAACTTTTGAAAACCGAATTATTTTCGGTCGAGAAAGTATCAAGTCGGAACGTAGCAACGCGTAGACCGCTTTGCATCTCTCTTAGACTCTTATGAGTGCGAGTGAGACAACCGATGCGAGACCGATGCTAGTTACGTTCCTGAATGGAAAATCAGTTCTGTTTGATTCATTAGAAATTAGATGCTGGGCATGTGTGGTAGAGAAACGCCAGTACCAAATTTCTTCTAACGACGATCTAATAACCAGGCAATTAATAGAAATTCAATGAGTTTTAGGGCAACTTTATTGTTCTATGAAAAAAATATTTTTTTACAATGTTTTTACTTTTATTGAAATTGGGAATTTATTCGTGTGTACGAAGATTAATAGGCCGTATTATTTTTCAAATTAAACGCCGTGGAACATTTAGTTTGATTTCGTTTGAATTTGTTTGAGTTGGATTCGGTTACAAACATTTTTCCAACTTTCTATTGTTATTTTCTAAGCGTCGCTTTTCTCTTTCGCATTATTTTAAATGTGCGGAAAGTGCATTTAAAAGTGTTTTAGCTTCTGAACTCCTTCAAATCGTTTAGGAGCATTGCTAGACGCGTTTTTCTTCAATTTCACGCCGGATTTTGGATTGAAATAAACTTGATTTTCGAACGCAGTTTCCTCACGCCATATATAAAAATCCAAGGAGCTTCTAAAGACGGCGAACGCACATATACCAAATAGATAGATAGTGCAGAGACTGCGACTCCCAAGGCCGACACTTATTTAACAAATATGCGCTTGAGTAAACAACATTTCGTTCGCAAATAGTGCCAGGCTATGCACAGCTAAAACGATCTTTGCTATTTACCTATTATATAAATTTTGGAGTAATTTCAAGTGCCTCATCTGAGTACTAAAAGACTTGATTGGTTCTCCTGCCCAAGGCTGAGAGTTGGTGAAAACACTCTAAACCGCATCAAATATTTTAACTGTTTAAGCACATTTTTGTTTGTTCGGGGGAAAGTTGATATACATTTAGAAATGATCAACACATGAGTGGACGGCGCACAAATCGAGAAAAAAAAACAATTATATAACAGTTCCTGACAGACAGAGACCATAAATAACCCAGCAGGTTATGGGCAGTAAAACAGAAAATATTTTTCAAATGACCCAACAAACTGGTCTTAGACTGAGCCCCAGCCAGCATTCGCTTAATTATAGGTGAATATCGAGAATATCAACTCTGGTGTCAGGCATTTTTAAATAGTTTTGTTGTTGTCGAGATGCGGCCGAACTAGGTGAAGAAGTGTTTCTTTGGGGGGACTTTTGGAGGACTATTGGGGCTAATAACGAAAATCTGCTTACCAGGTTGACAGAGCCGACTCCAGTGGAAGGGATTGCAACAGGAGTAGACCAGATCACCAGCGGCGCCACATTGGGGCAACCGTCTTAACTCGTTCACTTGCCGCACCTCCGGCCACCTCCAAAATTGGCAGCATAAGAGGTGCGGCTCGTACGAGTACTCGCGCGGCACGAGCACGCAATGACCGAGCTCCAACCCGCGCGTCTCCACCGCTGTCAGCAACATCTCCAATTGAGTATCCTGCAAGCGACAGAAAATCTGATGAGTGGAAATAGGAAATTCGCCTCAACACTGGTAGGTACTTTCGAGTCAATTATTCTCACTTAAAATGGCCAGGAAACATACATGCATTCGAATTGAATTAATTAGAAATCGACCGTTTTCGGCTCAGTTGAATGATTTAATACAATGCAAAGGCGAGCAGAGGATCGCATAATTAGGATTTTCTCTTATTTATCAATTCCTTCAACAATCGGTCCCTATAGCACCTACAGTTCTAACACAGATTTGATTTATAAAATCTTGATGAAACTGATGAGCTTTTCGGGCTTTTCGATCGTCGTAGATTGTAATGTTTTCCTAACGTTTCCGGAAATTCCGTGACGCTCTAAAACTCCGAAAAACTCATCAGTTTCAACCACCTCTGAAGATGATTGAGATCAACTTTTCACGTTCACATTCATCACTGGTTTCCCTTTAAACTATGAGAGACAAGTTTAAACCTTGAATGAAATCCTCCAAATATTTGGAAAAAATGGCTCTTTAAACATCTATTGTGAATGGCCACTATGTTCGATAAAAGCTCAATGGGTGTTGTTCGCTGGCATACAAAAAGGGCCATTCATTTGTCAACAAAAGTGGTCATTCCGGTGGCATAAAGGCATCAGGGGCGCCATTGAGCAGTCAACGGAACCCCATTTTGCGGCTTAAAGGCACAGTAAGCATAGTGGTCAATAAACGGGAGATGCAAGGAGGTATGTTAGTTAATAATTTTCCTGATAATTGCCTTTCAATTGATCGCTTTTGAGTGTGATGCTAACAGCCACTCTGAGGTGGAAAAACTTCCAGGCCCTTATTGAATAACATGCTGCAACTGACTAGCGTTTGTTACAAGAGACTTAATTTCCCCAAAGCCGGCAAATATTCCCTGGAATTCCTTAGCAGAGATCCTCACCAAGGTGAACGAACTAACCTGGAGTTTTTTGAGGAGTTGCTGCACGTCCCGTTCCTTGGTATCCTTGGGCCCCGCGGGGCCCTTATCCGCAACCGAAGGGCCATTCAGGTTAGTCCTCCGTTTGCGCAACAATTTTCGCGTCAAATTGGTCGTTCTCCTACGTCGAAACATAAACATTAAGGGGCTCTTTCGGTCGCGGCACGGATAGCAACAATTGAAAGGACATTTGGGGGCCACTATTGCGATTCTCTCCCAAGTAAATCACACCAAAAAGCACTGACTTGCTGCCGAAAAAACACTGGCCACGAGTCGCCGATCGCTTACTAGGGGGGCGGTTGAGAGAATCGTAGCTCGAGCACCACGCGACACGCAAACACTAGCACTTCTAACGCCAGCAACCGACTAAACAGGACTAACAGAACTAAATCGGTGACTTTCGAGCAGGGTCGGTGAAGGCTAATGTAAAAACGTTTGCGCGGTGAGAGGGGAATGGCGCCATCGACTAAACAGAACGGGACTAGGAATTTTTCATCAATTTAGTTGTTATTTTGCGATTTTTAATGATTTAACCATTGTTAAATTGTTGTTAGCGCTAAACTTTCACGGACTTGTCAAAACTGACGGGCGGTTAATCAGTTCTTCTTCCTGTTCATCAGCAATGTTTTTGCATGACGATGACAACTATTTGATAGACAGCGCATTAGGGCGTTTTTTCCTTAGCTGAAGGAAAAGTAGTGAATTTCCATGAGTGAAAAGTGCGATCTCGCACAAACCCAAGTAAGAACCGCAGCGATTTTCAATAAGGTGAGCACAATATTAACCGCCGCCGCAAGAAGCGGATTTTCTTAATAAATAACCAGCAGTGCTGTTCTATTTTAATTGTCATTCTTGCCTTTTAATCCCTCTTTAGGTTGGATTGGCAGGTATTTTAAAATTAAAGTTTTTGGCCCTCAAGACTAAAAAAGTCCTTCAGAGGCTTAGACATTGGCTGATTAAAACACCAGAACACTGTTGTCATATTTGGGTCTGGCCTTATTTGCGTCTTGGTGGCTGTCATGAGCCGCTCACCTAAAGAGCATTCCAATCATGTAGCTGTTTCTATCGTGAGACCGCCTCGAATATATTCTCTCCTTTGCACCGGGGAGTGTTCGTTTGACTGACTCTATTGTTCTCCCTGCGGCTTTTTTAACCTAAATGTTTTTGATAACTGTCATGGCAATGTCAGACTTTTTATACTCAATCGCTTTTTCAAAATGCCTATTTAATTAAACTGTGTAGCCTGCTGTAACTCAGGTAAGAATACAATTAGGACATGCTAAAAGACAGTTTTTTGGTGGTTTAATTGCTCAAGTCACAGACAGTCTTAACAGCAAAGGCTCAATTTTGAATTTTCAAACTGCTCCCAGTTTTTGCGTTTGAATAGTTACTATTCAAATCCCCAGTGAATAGTTGGTTATTCCGCTCCTGTCTACATAAATACTATGCGGACGTGCGCCACCAGTCTAGACGCACTGAGTCGGTTTCGTCATCAGGTTGCGCCACCGTACGATACTTACCCCTCTTTAGGTGCACCACGTGCTTGTGGTGGCTATCATTTAGGGTAGGGGATTGGGGGTAATTTGTTGGAAAGCCGAAGATACCAGGCGCCCTAATATTCCGGTCAACGGTGTTCCTAGCATTGTCTAGTGTCTAGACCCATTTCTAAAGGTGTGATCAAGCTGCAACCCCTATGGTTCATTGTTGCTGTTTTCAATTGCATGACGAATATCTCGAGTTCATTCACAATTCGTAATAGGGCCCACTAAAACGCTTTTATTTCGAACAGTTCGCACGTTTTTGCGGATATCTAACCATCTATTGACGAGTTTTGAAGATAGTTGCGAGGGAATTGTTCAAGGCGCCAAACATGTATCTGGCGCCCAATTAGAAAGTATGGAATTTTGTTCCGAGACGTACTTAGCGTCAAGTATCATACAATATTTTAGACAGAAACTTATGGGAGACACCAAAATTGCATTGTTATTTCCATGCTTTTTGCTCTTATTATATCC